ATTGCATGTGCACAAGGAATCCCTTTCAATCCCCAACTTCTACAAGTGCAAGTTCCTTGAATTAAGTTAACCACATGTATATATGGACTATCTTTCACTTCATACCCAATGTCACCATTCTAACTAATTTCCACCCTCATTGACTTCTTCACATTTGTATTTAGCACCAACATTGCCATTGGAGATATGTCACAAGTCCAACTATTTACAAATGTTATCACTTTAGTGGATCTATTCATTACCTTTTTCCTTATTTCTTCAAGTATACTGATGATAGTCTTGTGCCTAGCACCCAACACCCAAGCATTAAAACTTCCAGCCATATTGTTATCCACACTGTCACATTTTGAGGATGTCCTAAACTGTGCTTTGGACCATCTATTAGGATTGAAGTTTGCCAAGTCATTAGAAATATCTCTGCCTATTTGTGCTAATTTATCCAAGTTCTTCCTGAGTTCAGCTTCAAATGTTGATCTAGCACAAGCCCAAAATCTCTTTCTTTCCTCAACACTTTTCCAGTTTTTTGACCAGTTTGCAAGTATATGTCTTGCACACATTCTTTGTTCACATTTTGGAAGCAATAGCTAAATATAATCCCTGAAAAGCTTATGTGGTTAAAATCACTCAAAACAATAACTAAAATATATGTTGCTTGGACTCTTCAAAAATGTCAATGAGGGCATGTTGAATTAGCCAAAATTAGTGTATTTTTTGTTAATCCAATACAAGTGTGGCATCAAAAGTGAAGAATACGCACAACTAAGACTAAAATCACTTAACAACTAAAGCTAAAAGGGATGAAAATAGTAGCAAAAAAAAAAAACAGTAGCTAAACAAGTTGAATAACAAAGTACCGCTAGAGTTTCTAATTTTGTGGACAAGATAGAATGTTGTTATGGACTATCAAAAGGTCCTTACAAAATGCTGAAATCAATAGTTAAAAACTACTTAAAACACATCAGCTAAAAAATCATGAAATCAGTAGTTAAAATTGGATTATAAGAGATGAAACAGAGGTTAAAAAATAGCTTAAATTAGTAGTTAAAATTACTTAAAACACATTAACTAAAACTTGTAAAATCAGTAGCTAAAAAAGCTGAAAATAGCAGCTAATATTGGCTAAAATAGCTGAAACCAGAGGCTAAAAATCGTACCTTTTGCATATCACTTATGATAGTCAATCCTTCTCCTTCATCATTAATGCCCAAATCAGATTTCAAGATTCTCAAAAACCAAGTCCAAGTTTCTCTACTTTCAGTTCCAACAACAGCCCATGCTATTGGGAACATCTGATTATTTCCATCCTTTGCAATAGCAACAAGTAGCTGGCCTTTAGATATTCCCTTCAAAAAGCAACCATCTAACCTAATGCACTTTCTACAACCCTCAATGAATCTTTTTTTCAAAGCTGAAAAACAAATATAAAAGGAATGAAAGAATTTTTTTTCCATCATCACAATTTGTCACTTTCACCACACAAGTGCTTCCTGGATTTGATTCAAGAAGCACTCTGTAGTCATAGATTCTACTAAACTCAGCAACATGATCACCCATTATCTTTTTCAACACCATTTTTTTGGCCTTCAAACACACGACCTTACCAACATACAATCACATGTCTGTCCTGACCAAATCTTGTATTTCCCATCCCTTTATGCAAGGTTGAGAAACAATTCTACTTTTATAGTACTTAGCCAAAAACTTAGAGTTGTACATTGTGTTGGTATTAGTCCTATAACACTTATGTCTAGGATTGTAGGTTTTTATAATGAAATCAGAAGATTTGAAATCTTTGCTTGCATAAAGTATCCAAGGACAACCATTAGCTTTGCATTTTACTCTGACCCTTCTTTGATCATTGTGGATCTTATCCAGTTGACAACCTCTCTCAATTGCATACTTGCTCAAAGCTTCTCTGAATTTTTTCATATTTTCAAATACCATATTAAGTTGCCACACAACTTTTTTCCATGTTGGATCATATGAGACCCTTTTGTCCTTCTTTCTTGCCCTTAAAATATCAGATCTTTTAACATCTATTTCCCCCTCACTTTCACTTTCAAAACTATCGGCATCAGAACTGTCGTAAAAGGGCTCATCACCTACTAGTTAAATTTTTCTTGGGTTTATCAATGTCTTCAAAACCAGGATCTATGCCAACTTCTCCCAGAAAACACTCAGCAATTTTTTTTCCCTTAGGCTCCTTTTTTTCTTCAAATATGCTTTCAAATCCTTCTTAACTATGCTCAGCTCTTCATGAATATCACTCCCATAACCATCCTCGTCACTAGAAAAGTCAACATTCTCATCACTTTCAACATCACTATGCACAATAGTTTCTACTTCATCTTCCTCTGAATCTTCATCTTCACTAGAAAACTTATATTCATTTTCAACTTCATTTGTGTTTCTGCTGCCATTTTCTATCAGATTTGATTGTTAGACCCTGACAATTTGATCTCTACCATCAATAAATGTTATTTCTTTCCCTAAAGGTGCATTGAGACCTTCACCAACTTTGTTGGTAGATTCTTTATTAGGTCTATCAACTTCAATGCATGTGGTCTCAAAAGACTCATGGTCACATGTGCTGTTTTGATGAAAACTTCCCCTTTATGGCAGATATAAATGTCCATAGTACCCCCAGCAACCAACAAAGTGGCTAAGACCAACAAATCCCTATCTTTAACCAATTCTACCAAATTGTCAACTTGAGCAGCTCCAATATATTTTTTTTCTATATTGGTAACCCCAAAATCCCTGCAATAGTCATTCACTTCCGGAATAGACAAGGTCCTACCTCACTCATAAGTATACCACCGATGTGAAACCTCAAATTTACGTACTTAGTGCCCATTACCTTAGAACAATTGAAATATGCAAAGTTTAATAAACCAACTATTGTTCATGAAATCAGTAGCTAAAAATCGCCACCAGTACGAAAATTAAGTTTAGGAGTAAAGAAAGAGTGCCTTTTGTAGTCAATTTTTTCTCCTTTCAAACCATGATGAATTTGTGAATTAATAGTTATAACCCCAATTTTACTCAAAATTTTCACACACCAAAGAGACTCAGCTGAGAAACAGAGAAAGATGCTTCTACACGTTGAAGGTTAAACTTTAATCTTTTGACATGGTGGAATTTGTTTCCATGTGGCAATCTATGTGGCATTTAAAAAATAATAATTGAGAGAGTGTAATACACACACTATCATATTTTATTTGAGGTGTGTTTTTCAAACTAAAGTGAAATAGTTTAGGTGTGTTTCTCACACTTTCAATAGTTTGGGTATGAAACTAAAAAATAAAAAGGTATAGTTTAGGTGTGTTTTAACCACTTATCTCATTTTTAAAACATATGAGCTGAGTATATTTTGGGAGTAGTATTGAACACCTATATGGGGACGTGAGTTCATAATAACTCAAGTTTCCATAAACCATGTAGCTATCATGGGTAGAAAGGATCATACTTTTTAGATGATTCCTTAGTGCTTTTTAGCATAGACTAGTGGATCCACTTAGTTAAGACATTCTATATGAAGGAAAAGTATAGGACAGTTGTGGCAACGTGAGAAAGATGATGTATCATCACTTAGGCTCATAGTGGTGGTTATCAGTTAGAGAAACTCCCACAGTATTACATTACTTTACATGTAAGCTAAGTTGTTATTGCATTTCTTTAATAAATTGAGTTGCTACCTCCTATTTTAAATGCTTTGTATAACTGCACCAATATTGTTGTTTACTTTACATTTGAGTTGAGTTATTCATGAGTTGAGTAAAGCCAAGGTAAGTGTTCTTTTTCAAATTCCTTTTAAGCTTATGTCTTATTTAGTATTCCCCTCGCATACTTGTACATTCAATGTACTTATTCCATTTGGCCTACATCGTTTTATGATGCAGACACAGGTAACCAAGATCAACATCAAATGCCTCGTTGATCCAGTTGAGCACTCAAAGTGAGTTGGTGAGCCTCCTTACTTTTCAGATGACTCTTTTTACCTTGCTTTCTAGTATTTCAGTTGTTAGGATGATCGAGGGTTTTGTCCCAACATCCCTCTTTATTTTAGAGGCTTCATAGATAAGTAGTTATAGTTCTTTAGTCTTTCCTTTTTCAGTTGCATACGTTAAGACTTGAGTTGCCATTTTGGCTAAGCTTTATATCTCTTTAAGTTATTGCATGAGTTATATTTTGAGACTATCTCTTATATTTAAGTCTTTCGCTGAGTAACAGGCCAAGGGTTTACTTGGGGCCATAAATGGTTCTCGAGTGCCAGTCCTACCAAGGGTAAAGGTTTTGGGCGTGACAAAAGTATCATTTTTCATCTTTCCAATGGGCATAATACTTTCGTTCACAACCAAATTTTTCTCTATAGTTATCATGTTCACATTAGCATTCCCATGTTTAGGCAGATGACTGTTGTCACGTTGGGATGAGGTCCACGAAGTTGGATTTCTCCTTCTTTAATCAAAGATTCAATCTTGTTTCTGAGACCATAGCAATCCTCAGTGTCGTGTCCAAAAACTCCAAAATGATATACACAATGCCTAGAGCCATCAAACCATTTTGGAATAGGATCAGGAATTTTCCCTTTCAATTGGTTGTATCATACCTGCTGTTTTCAACCTCTCAAACAACTGAACCAATGGTTCAGTTATTTTGGTATAGTTGCGAGTTGTTTTGATTTCATGATTTGGACGAGCTCTAAGTGTGACATATGGTCGATTTGGAAAAGTTGAAGCTTGGACTGGTTGGTATGAATGTGGTTTATTGTAAGTAGGAACTCGAGGTTGATAACAGTTTGCCTGGGTGTTGTAGACATGGTAAATATTTGATGGAGGATGGTAGAGAGTATGTGCGGCTTCACCATATTGGTAAGGGTAAATGGGTTGATGTTGTTGATTTAGGTAGGGAAAAAGTTGACCTAGCCTGCGTCCTTGGTCAATCATGACAACAGATACATCTGCTTTCTTCTTTTTGTTCCCATTGATAGAACCATATTAAATCGCTTTGCTTGCAGCATGCAAGGCTGTAAACTCTTGGATTCTTCCTAATTTGATTCTTTCTTCCAAGATTTCTCCCATTCTAATGATTTTTCTGAATTTTTGTCCCATCATAGTTATCATTTTATCATAGTAAAGGCTGTTATCTTGACATTCAGTGAAGGTAGCAGTCATTTCACTTTCACTTATCGGTGGTTGGACTCTAGCTGCTTCTGACCTCCAACATAGAGCATACTCACAAAATGTCTCAGTTGACTTTTTCTTCAACTTAGTCAGGTAGAACCTATCTGGTGTGATGTTGGTATTGAACTTAAATCGATCCATAAAGTCTTGTGCCATATCACTCCACCCACGCCATTTATGGAGATCTTGTTGTGTATACCAAGCAAGAGCTTCAACACATAAACTTCTTATGAACAACTTCATTTTGACCATCTCGTCTCTTCCCACTCCTACTAGTTTGTCACAATATGCCCTTAGATGTGTATGAGGGTCACCAATTCCATTGAATATATCAAACTTTGGTGGTTTGTACCCTACAAGCAAATCAATGTCAGGTTGCACACACAGATCCTCATATTCTAGGCTTTTGTTTCCTCTCGTAGTTTGGAGGTTTCTCATTGATTTCTTAAGATCACGAATCTCTCTAGATAACACATCATCAGCCTTTGTCGTGACATCCTTCTCCATTTCCTCATACTGATCTACCTCGGGTTGAAACTTGACCGATATTGGGTTGATAAAGGCTTGAGTTTCCACCGCATATATCGGAGAAACATATTGAACATAAATAGTGGCAATATGTGCCCCTTGTATATGTTGAGCTGAATAAGTTTGTAGAATGGGCCTATTTTGGATTGGAGGTAGTAGATTCAATGGGTTTACGGGAGTAAATGTAGGCACTGGATAGGTGTTAGTGGGTAGAGAAACGTAGGGAGTATGAGATGTAGGTTGATTTTGTGGATTGACGGGTGGTGGATTAAGAGGAGTAGCATAGGTAGTATAGGTAGGTGGTTGACTTTGTGGAGGAGTGTGGATGGGTGGAAAATTTGGTGGATTTGAGGGACTAGTTAAGGGAAAGTTATTGTGGAGGAAAGTGTTTAGGAACTGGTGAATCAAGTGATGGAAAACGGGATGGATTTGGTGCAATACTTCTAGGTTCAGGGAGTGGACTTTGGAGTGTGATGGATAAATTGTTCAAGTCCCTAACCCGAGTTAGTTCACTACGTAGATTCTCAATCTCTTGAGTCAAGCGGGCGATGTGTTCATCATGTTGAATAGTAGTTCTATCTTTGGAAGTTTCGGGAGAGTCATTAGGAACCATGATATGTCCTGAACCAATTGGATCAGACGTTGTTGGATTAGTCATCGTGGTTTTATTTCCTTGAATAGCCCAACTACGCTGAGGTAATGCCAATGACTTGGACCTTGTGAAGGAAGGATGGTCGGCCAGCTCGATTGTCAACACGAATTAACTTTGATTGGGAATAAAATAAAGACAAAAGATAGAATGTAAAATATAAATGATGTTAGTTTCAAATCAAAAAGTAAAGTCATGTTCAAATAAACTCAAATAAGTCACATAGCAAGCAAGTCAAATAACATACAAACAAGTCATCAAGTAAAGTCAAATAAGTTGTAAAAATAAGAAAGAAACAAATCATCAAATAAAGTCAAATAAATTGTAAAAATAACATGTAAATGCGTCATAATATGCTTGTGACCTCTTTGTGCCAGAGGTAGGCCTAACGTAAATTCAAGGAGTATATTTGCCTTAATATGTCATTCCATTGCTCTTGATTAATTAAACGAATTTTATTTGTCTAAAAAAAGTACAATAGGTGAAATATTTATTACATGTCGGATGAATACAACATGAAGTACTTCCTAAAGTAAAAGAAATTTTGTTATGTCCGTCTTTCTTAGTTCCTTTTGGTGATATTATCACTTCTTGTACTCCAACGTCAAGTCTTCGTACCTGTCACATAAAGGTTAGTCATACCACCCCCTAAAGTTTAATTAATTAGAGCAAATGGTTCATATTTAAGCATGAATATTCCTCAAATATGCACATAAATAATGATAGGTCGTCACTTGGGGTCGAAAACCCACTTGGACATTTAAGTTAAAGTCGACTAATGAGCTTAATACACCAAGGGTATAAAGCCTCTTAGGTCATGAAATGATGTATGTTCCATGTAAAGTGTGTTGGTTTAGCTCTACTCTAGGTAAACTAAGAGTGAGTTTACTAGACACAAGGTTCCCGAGTGGACTACTCGAGTGAGAAGGCTACACGGTCATACGGACAAGATCTGAACACCCTTGCGCATATGCCAACTCTCCTAAATTTTGAAAGAAATTTGTGGGTGCGAAAAATACACCTCGCGTATACATGTGATAGTGTGAATTTCCAAGAAGTGAAGAAATATGAACGGAATGACAGTTAAGAAAAACAGTAACACATAAATATTTTATAGCAAAAAAATAATTTATAGCATGTAAAAAATAATTTATAGCTAATGAATAATTTATATCATGTGAAAAATAATTCAAAGGAAACAAACAATCAATAGCATGTAAAAGTAGTTTACGACAAATAATGGAATTAAAGTAAGCACATAAATGCCTAATTAAACTAAGTCCGTTATGGGTAGAACCTATTAAGTCCCTAGAAGAGTCGCCATTTCTGTTATGCCGTAATTTTACTATCTTTAGAAAAATCACTTTTTGAAATGTTCTAAAGTATAAAACAATTTGAGAAAAAATACTTAGAAAAGAGTCACACTTAATTTATAAAAAAAAATTAAGAAAACTTAATTTAAAAAGATTTTAATAGATTAAATCTTTATAAATTTAGAGAAAATGGGTAAGAGGTTCTTATTTACGCTTCAAGAAGGTTTTTAAGGCATTTGAAGCCTCCACTAACACGCGGTTACCCTACGACTTAGTTAGAATATATTTTGACTATTTTTTAAGAAAATGGTTTATTATGTAAAAAATAATTATTATTTGAATTTATTTGACTCATTTTTAAAATAATAAGTTGAGCCAATTTAGTCGATAAACCAAGAAATCATTTTAATCTAATTAAATATAAGTGAAAGTTTTGACTAAAAAAACATTTGAATAAGTAAATAAAGAATAAAGAGTTGATGAAATAAAATTTATTAAAATAAACTGACACAAAGAAAATAGTTCATCTTTTGGAGAATTCAACTAAGTTAATTAATAATTTTAAAGTTGGAGTTAATAATAATAAAAAATTAGTCAAACATAATCAAAGCAAATAGAAGAGCAAAAGTGATAATGTAATTGGGCCCTTTCTTGGGCCAATTTTGCTGCAAATTTTTGGGGCTTTAACCCAATTTCTATTTTTGTATACATCGGTTGTATATCAGTGTATATCATCACGTATATCAGCTCTTTACATGTATCTCTTGCTTCCGAACACCTGTATTTTGCCTCATCTCTGTATTTTCGCATTTTTGACCTGTATATCAATCCCTCACCTTGTATATCATGTATACGATTGATGTATACCAGTGTATTTGAGTGTATACAACCATACATTTCCACTCACTTTACTTCTGCTTGCCCTGCAGTTTAGCATCCTTTTCATTCGAACAAGATGAGGCTGACTCAAATGAATTCAACTCGGAGAAATGCAAGGATGGAGTTCAAAATAGACTCGGTGGATGTCACTTTTTCCGGGCAACGAATGGAAAGAACAAGCTTGAAGGAGCTTTCCACGACCACAAGTGTGCTTCTGAGGAGGCAAAAAGAAATTCAAAGAAAGATAGACCTAATTTTTTGAGGTTATATCGATATTATATTCATCAATCTAAAATTACGACTTCCAAAATTCCCACCTCCAAACACTGACTGGTCGAGAGTTTATATAGGGGAAAAGAAAATCGTTTTGGGGGGAAATCGGATGGAAAGTAAGAACTTGAATTCGAAATTCAAGTTCTCTCTAAAGGATAAGGTTGACAACAGATTTCTTGTACGAATTTGAACGGAGAAGCGTTGGGCTCGAGGACGTGATTTGCTGCTGGATTTCTGGGTTTGCAGCGCGATTTGGTCGATTTCTCACTGGGTTTCGCTGCTAGCTCGCGTTTGCTACGCGTGAAGAAGACGAGGTGGGGTCGGGGCGTTGCTGTTGGAGAATTGGGTTGGGTTGTATGTATGCTGTAATGTTGGAATGAGTATTGGATTATTAATTGGAATTGTATTGCTGTAACTGCTGGGCTACTGGAGTTGATTGAGAAATAAGAGGGCCCAACACTTGGTCTTAAAGATAGCTAAAATTACAATTAAGAGAAAGACCATACAAATTTCAATTGTAGCCATTTAGAGTTAATTTAGCCAAATTGGATTTAGTTGGTGATTTGGCTAAAAACTAAAAAAGATGAATTAACATAAATTAATTAAATGAGCTTCTTAATGTTAACGAAATAAAATAATCGACTTAATTATAAACTAATTAATTAAAAAATGCAAACTATTATATAACTAAATTAATTAGTAAAATATTTCAACAAAATAAAATCTTTTTTTAAGATGACTTTGGAATATTTATAAAATATACTAATTATATACATAATTATGTAAAACATATATATATTTTAAAAATTATAAAAATGATACAACTATTTAAAATAACTTAAAAACTATATTTTTCTTTGAGATTTTATAAAAATAATTATTTTTAATCATTTGAAATTGAAGAAGCTCGATGATTAATATATACAATGTGGAGGTCCAAAATTGGGTGTCAACATCTGGCACCCACAATCAGCTTCTACGTGCCGTGGAACCTACATGGCCTGTATATGGGCTCATACAACACTACAGCAGCAACTTCTTAAACTTTCAAATTTACAAGTTACATATTACACTTTTGAGGTGTTACATCTACCTTCTAAGGACTGATGAATCAAATCTTCCAAAAACATTTAAGGAAGTTCATCTTGGTCTTTTTTATGACATTTTGGTCTTTATAAGAACTTGGTTGAGCATCAGGTTCATCTCAATACCACATTTGAATTATTGTTGCAACATAAGTTGTATGCTAAGAGATCCAAATGTGTGTTTGTTGTCATCACTATTTAACAATCAAGTGGAATCATTGTGGTGAAAACTGATCAGAAGGCACTCAAGTTCCTACTCGAACAACACTTGGACAATGATTCCTAACTAAAGTGGATCACAAAGCTCATGCAATTTAACTTTATGATTGAATATAAGAAAGGGAAAGAGAATAAGACGGTTGATGTCTTATCTAGATTCCCTCCAATAGAGTTAGCTGCCTTGACATTGTCTAATGTTAGGACAAACTTGCTACTGTCAAGAATTGATAGTTGGGAAGTTGATTGTAAGCACAAGTTAGTGATTCAACAACTTTATATAGTGAGTTTAAACAAGTCATATAATCATATATGAGTGCACATAAATTGAAGATAACGATCAAAGATGTATGAGGATGAGTTGTGGTTGAACAAATGAACAAATGAAATCCTCACAAAATATACTTGTGCTTTAGTAAACATTATTTTGAGGATGTTAATTATATAACCACTATCCATCCGCATTCCCAATTACGTGGACTCTTATATAATCATATGTTTGTTTAAGCTCATTTAGCTATGTAAAGTTTTAATAATTTATTTTTTTATTAATTAATTATTTTT